GTAATTGTATTGGTGGGAGCAGTTGTTTATTTATTAATGAGGGGCAAAAGAGTAAGAAAATAGTATAAATGGGGGGGTATGACAATTATTTAAGAAGCATTCATATTCTTATATCCCTATTTATAGGGTATGGGAAAAAATGATAGAAGAGAGTTTTTTTGTTCCCTAATTATTGTTGTTTTTTGGAGGGATTTCTATTTGAGATTGTTCTTGTTCCTCTTCGGGGATTTCAAAGTCTATTTGCTGAGAACCAATTTTTAGACTTTGTAATTTTTGAGTAATTTCCTTAGTATCTATCATTTTGCTAGTAGTAATGGCATTGGAATGGATTTGGTAGGGAGTGTTTTGGGAGAAAGTGTTGTATTCTTGTTCTAGGGTTTGGAGTTGTTGTCTAAATTGCTGATAAAGAAGCAATTTTTCTCCCTCTCATTGTTTTAGTCCTTGTTCTCTTTCCCAACCACTAATAATTTTATTTAATTCCTCAGCACTTAGTCTCTTACTGGAATCAGCATCTCAACATCTTTTAATTAATTCTTTTAATAATCGAGGGATAGGAACTTTGTCTATATCAGGTCGATAACCTTGACATACTTTTAAAGATAATTCTAAATCATCCATTTTTGGGTAGGGATAAGAGTTGGCTAGTAATTCATAAGCTACTATCCCAAATGAATAAATATCTGCTACTGGGGTATATTTTTTTCCTTGTAATACTTCTGGGGCTACATAAGGAATTACTCCTCAAACTTTACTATCACCCACCTCTTCTACTGGTTTACATAAACCTAAATCAGTGATACGACATTTAATTTTACCATCCCCTTCATCCTTATCAATAATAATATTCCACTATGGAAATCTCTGTGGACTAAACCTTTACGATGGATATCTTTCAGACCTTGGGTGATTTGTTTTAAGAAATTAAGTTTACTGCCTCTTCAAGGCATCTCTTTATCATAAAACTTTAATTCCTTATTCTTCTTTAAAAACTCTCTTAAATTTCCTTCTTTCATATATTCCATAACCATTATATAATTACTTTCTTTATCCTTAGAAATACCATAACAAGGCACCATATTACTTACTTAACTTTTGAATAGTTTGTAGAGGGTTAGTTCTTGGAGGAAGTCTTGGTTCATGTTTTGGGAATTAGTGAGGGTTTTGAGGGCTACTGTTTTGTAATTTTTGTATTCTCCATTTTTACCATCCCACACTTTACTTCTTTCTCAAACCTTTTTTTCATTATCTCATCCTCTAATTGTTCCTCCTATTAATTCTGCCTTCTCTACTTTTCCAAAACCACCATCAGCAATATGTTTTATATATTTAAACTTTTCATAAGGAATTCATTCTAAGACATTTCAAGTGCTAGTGGCTTCTAGTTGGCATTTTTGAATAAAATTATCTATATTGGAATTATCGCTGGTTCATTTGTTAAACTCTTCCTTAAAATGTTCGGCATTACAAGATTGGCATCATCTTTGACTAGTATTAGGTTGATTACATTCTTTACAGGTTCCAAAAGACCAATATTTTTCCCTTAAATCTCTAAACTCCTCCTCGTTTTCTTTGGCTCAGTTTAGGTCGAGTTTTTTGAAGTTAAGAAATCAATTAAAGAATTCAGCATCTTCTCACGGTCTAACTAATTCAGTATCTTTATTTAATTCTGTAAAGATTTTTTTGGTTTGTTCTTTACTAAAACCTGCTTCTAATCAGTTTTTTTTGTATTTAGGAAGGATAAAACCTTCATGAATATCTATTCAAAGTTCTGCTTCTAATAATTCTTTATTTTGGGATAGTTTACAATTAGGTCTTAATTTTGTGTCATATTTAATTGTTTCTAAACCATCAGATAAATATTCTCAACCACTATCTATATCAGTATTGGGAATTTCTAATACTCTCAATCTATTCAAATCCTTTAAAGGTTCTAAACTTCCTTGAAAATTATTATAAATATTTTGGTTGATTTTGTTTTTATCTGAATTACCAATCTCTAACCTTCATAAATTCCTCATCTGACTAAAAATAGAAAGATCTTGGGGGGAGAGGTTGTTATTGGTTATATATAATTCAGTTATTTTTTTTGGATTAGTGGGATAAATTATTCGAGTGAGGTAGTTATTAGAACACAAAAGCATTTTTAGCTCTTCTAAATTACTTAAATCCAAAGTAGTAAGTTGGTTATTAGAGCAATTAATTACCCATAATTTCTTACAATTATTTATATTTAGATTAGTGAGACAATTAGCAAAGCAAAATAATTCCTCTAAATTAGAAAAATCAGATAAATCTAGAGTTCCTTCTAGACCTATTTTACCTGTATCCAACCTTTTTATTTCTTCCCTAGTTTTACCAAAGTCTTTGTGGTTTTCTAATTCTTTTTGCCAACTTTCTTTTTCTCTCACACAAGTCCCATTTTTGGGATAATTCTCCTCTAACCATTTTTGGGCTTCTACCATAATACTAATTTTATGAAGGTTTATAATACTCAGCAATTATTTCCTTAATGGCTGCTCTAGGGATTTTACCACCATTAAAAGAAAAAAATATTTTGGCTGGTTCATCCTGGGGTTCTGCCTTTCAAACCCGACCATTATAATGGCAGTAGTTAGGTTACTAACTAATTCTTAAAAACCTTTTCGAACCTCAAAACAGTAGAGAAACCAATGAAATCTTTTATAAAATCAGTGAAGAGTTGGAAGATTTAAGAATCGGTGATACAGCAGAATTTAGTGAAGAACTAAGAAGAAGAATTCAAGAAGCGAAAAGTAAATTGGAACAAAAAAACCAATTCCAATCCCAACAAGAAATTCCTTCTAAATAAAATGGTAATTATATCTAAATTTACACAGTCCAAGAATTATTTTCTTTTTCCCAATAGCCGCTTTTTTGGCATTCATTTCATAAATAGTACTTGCGAAGAGGCATTAAACTAAATAGAACATTTAGGGAAAAAATACAATGTAGATTATTACTAAAATAATTCATATGAATACTCTTCCCTATTTCGCTTTTGGTTCCAACATGTCTCAAACCCAACTAAAATCGCGAGGAGTCAATTGAAATAACGCTTTTCCTGCCACCCTTAACAATTATCGCCTCATATTTAACAAAAAAGCTAGCTGTGGCAACAAATCATTTGCTAATATTGAAGAAACATCAGGTAATACAGTTCAGGGCATTGTTTACTACGGCTTAGCCGAGGAAGATTATGATACACTAGATAGATATGAAGGTGTTGGAGGAGGTCATTATAAAAGGAAAATTGTCAAAATTTCCGTGAATGGCAAAACTGTCGAAGCAACCACTTATATTGCTGGAGAGAGTTGAATTGATACAACCGGCAACTTAAAACCAACTAAGGAATATATGGACAAATTATGAGCCGGTAAAAATCATCTATCGCTAGAATACCAAGAAATGCTAAAAAATGTAAAAGTAAAAGAAGGAGAAGAATATAGGAATTATTTGAATTGTGAACAGTTAGTTCAAGAGCAACAATTTTTTTAATTTTTCCACCATTTCCCGTAAAGAATTAGTAAATAATTCATAAAGTTTTTGGCTTTTCTCGGCTAAGCAAGCATAATTATCCAAATGATTTTGGTCTTTTGGCTTTCAGTGATAAAACATTTTTGTGAACCAACAGGATACTAAAATATACTTATGGATGAAATACGGAGTATTGCCGGAGGCCAAAAAGTCCTTTCTAAATATCACCGCCAAGATGAATTCCTAATGAGCTCAGGCAAAAAGATCTTTATTGAGGTAAGGTTAGTGAGATTATTAACCAGCAAGCCGGAATTTCCGCAAGGCTATTATTTTAAATGATTAGCCTTTGATCGGGATAATCCTAGCGAGCGAGTATTATTTGATAATCATCATGGTAAAGGACCTCATTATCATGAAAATCGTCATGAAATCTTTTTTACTTGAATATCCCGCAAACATACTCAACAAATGTTTTACCAAAAAATTATTAAGAAGTTTGGCAATTTTAAGCAAAAATTAAGTTAATATGAAAAATAGATTATAATATTTTCGAATAAATGTAAATATGAATAAGCAATTAAAAAATGAAGTTTTTATCTTCCGTTATGATCCGAATAGTTCTTTTGAAAATATGTTCGAAGAATTTTGAACTGCCGTAGACGGAAAAATTGAGTCAGTGGAACCTCATATAGTTCGCTCTAATAGTATTGAAGCCCTTTCAACTAATATGACTAAAAATCGCTTATTAATATTTGCGGCCTTGGTAGAAAAAAAGCCCGCCAATTTAACCGAATTAGCTCATTTATTACAAAAAGATTATACCTTGGTGCGACGAGAGACCCGTATTTTAGAAGGAATGGGGCTCATTAAATTAGAAAAAGTCAGTAAAGAAACTCCTAACCAGCAAGGCAGTAAAATTAAATTTAGCGAGGTTAAGCCCATTGCTCTTTATAAGCGAGTTATTTTTGATTTTCCTATTTTGGAAAGGGTTCCGGTAGAAAAAACTGCCATTGATAATCGGTTGGTAGTTTAATATTTTTATTATCTAATAAATAGATAATATTTTTACTTGCTAACCTTTTTAACTATTTAATTCCTTTCTTTTGTTCACCCTGGCGCAGTTGACTTTTTAGCCTCCAGCAAAATATTCTTGTCTATTTTCTCTCCTTCTTCGGCAATAAACTGGAACTAAAAAGAAAAAACCCAAAAAAAACAAATAACCAGTATTACAATGCACTTCATAGTGCTGAGTAGGCATCAAGGGACTAGATTGTTTGTTAATGCTCAAAGGTTGGGGCAGGTTTCAATTGAACAAAGAGAGGTAACGATCGGGACATGTCAGGTCTCTCTTTTGCAGAAAAACGAGGAGGAGTTTGTTATTTTTGTGCCTAAAAAGTATTTAGATAGTTATAATTAATATTAGTTGAAATGCTTTCAGGCATTCTAATTTATTTTTCGTAAGGAAAATGAACTGAAAAGTTTGAAGTATCTGAAGCCAAGGCAGCGGTATGTTTAGCAGTTTGGGCGGCAAAAACAATATATAAAAATTTAAATATATTTAAATATAGATAAAGACAAAAAATAAGTATTATGACTAATTGAACCAATCTCCATCCTGATTTTGCTAAACAACCATATTCTTGAAGTAATGAAACCTGACAACAAATCTGAGAGCAAGAAAGCATTACTTACCAAGACGCCCAAGCTTGACTAGCCATTGGATTTAGACCAGAAGATCATTGAATAGTTAAAGAATGAAAAAAACAAGGTTTTACTCCAGAAACTGCTAAGTTATGATTAGAAATAGGATTTGAGCCAAGAAGTTATGAGGAAGTTAAGCAATGAAAAAACCATAATTTCACGCTTCAAGAAGCCAAAAAATGAAGAGAGATTGGCTTAACTAAATATGATTATAAATTTGCTGCTTATCTAAAAAAAAACCGTTACACCCCAGAAAATGCTTTTCAGGAAAAAAGTCATGCTCAAACTTGATTAGATTGACAATATCCTAAAGGAGGAGTATGTATTAGAAGAAATGAAGGTAATGAATTAAATAATCAAGGCAAAACCAGAACCCAAATCACTAAATTAAATATTGGCAATCTTCATCTTAGTAAAAAACTGCAAGGCTCCTTAGATTTAACTGATTTTATTAATTTAAAAGGATTAGATTGTGGCAATAACCAATTAACTAACTTAGATTTAAGCAATTGTTCTCAGTTAACTAATCTTAGTTGTTCTAGCAATCCTCTCACTGGTTCCTTAGATCAATTAGTATCTAATCTAAATCAGTTAAAAGCCCTGCATATTAGCAATACTGATTTTAACTCCGTAGACATAACTAAATTACCGAAGGGTTTAGAACAAATTGGATACTCTTCTAATAGGCTAAGTTGTCAACTAATTACTATTGTTTCCTTATTAGAAAAACATTTTGGTGAATATGGTAGATGTTTAAAGTGTTATCAACCTAATACTAGTTGAAATTGATGCCAATTTTGTGCTAAGAATGAATGACAAAAAGGCATAAAGCAGTTAGAAAATAAATCGGTTAAATCTAATCTTTTTTCTTGGATTGGTGAAGAATATTTTAACCAACCTCCAGAACTAATTAAGAAGTTTATTGAACAACAAAAACTAAGAAGTGGATATAGTAATTTACAATGAATCCCTTATGAGCAATTCTCTAACATAGAATACTTAGCTCAAGGTGGTTTCAGCACTATTTCTAAAGCTCATTGAGAAGAATGCAAAGACAGTAATAACAAAGATAGAACAATAGTCCTCAAATCCCTTACCAATTCTCAAAACATCACCCTGGAATTCTTACAAGAAATTGCTAATACCAAATTGGTCGATAACAAAAGTAATATTGTTCCTTGTTATGGAATGTCCCAAGATTCAGCAAAGAATTATGTAATGGTGATGCAATTTATCAAAGATGGTAACCTCAGAGACTATTTAAGGAACAATTACCAAGAACTAAGTTGGAGCGATAAACTTCTTAAATTAGCAAATGTTACCTGAGGTTTATATTATATTCATCAGCAAAACTTAGTCCATAGAGATTTACATAGTGGGAATGTTTTAAACATTAGTAGATACGGTTACATCACTGATCTCGGTTTAAGTAGACCAGCTAACTCTCAATCCAATCCAGATGAAATCTTTGGTGTCTTGCCTTATATTGCCCCCGAAGTACTGCAAGGAGGCGAATATACTAAAGCCTCCGACATTTACTCTCTTGGTATAATCATGTATGAGATATTTTCAGGATTGCCTCCGCATTATGATCAAGTGCATGATTTAGATTTGGCTTTAAGAGTCTGTCTAGGACTAAGGCCCCGATTCCAAATTAAAATACCAGTTTTGTTAGAAAATTTAATTAATAAGTGTTGAGATATTAATCCAGGAAAAAGGCCTGGGGTTTGGGAATTACATGAAACTTTAAATGCTTGTTGAAATGAAACCCATAGCGATAAATCCACTTTTTTCACTCAACAACTCCAAGAAGCAGAAGAATATAATAAATCTTTACCAGAGTCAGTTAGATTTCCTAACTATGAACTTCACCCACAAACTTCTTATTATAGTAAACCGATTAATACCAAGCAAATAGCTGAACAACTGCAACAAGTCAGTGGTATTTTAGATTTAACTATCCCTATCCAAGAAATAAATATTTCAGAAGAACAGGAGCAACTCCAACCTCAAATCCCTCCCAAAAAACCCGAAATTCAACCTCAAGAAACTGAAGAAATTTCTTCTCAATCAGCCAAAATTAATGAACAAATAAAAGAAATAGAAACAGAACTAAAAACTCTCAAAGAACCTCTAGAAGATGAATTAACAGAATTGGTAGAAAAATTTATTGAAACCAAAAAGAAAACAGTCAAAGACAAGAGTAATAAGAAAGCTAAAAAAGAGATTGAAGAATTATATGAAGCATTAGAAGAAAAGAGTTTTTCCGAAGAAAACATAGAAAAAATTATTCGCTATTGCGAAAGATTAATTGATTTAGAGTGACAACTAAAGTGGTTAAATAATCCACAAGAAGAACTCCAAAACATAATCGAAATACCGGCTAAGAAATAAATATTTTTAAAAAATATTATGGCAAATGATCAGGAGTGATTTAACAGAAATTACCCTAGAGAAAAGAAAAAAAAGATAAAACTTAAAGATAAGGATTTTCGCGGAAAGTTAGTTGTTGAAAATTATCCAATGTTGGAGATTTTATACTTACTCGACATTGAACTCATAGAAGGTATAACCCTCAGAAACTTAGATCAACTTAGAGAATGTACTATCTGAAGTTGTGGTATTAATGATTTAGTTATCGAAAATTGTCCTAACCTAAATAAATTAAATGTTAGAGATAATCTTTTAACTAATCTAGAATTCCTAAATTCTTTGGATAACTCAAAAACTCTCGACTTAGACATTGGTTACAATAATTTTTTGGAAAGTGACTTAGAACCTTTTAGTAAGTTTACTAATTTAGGCAGCCTAAACATTGATAATTCATTAAAAAGAAAGATATTACAAAATAGATATAACCGCTTTTTTGGTTCTTTAAAGCCTTTGCAGAGTTCCAGTAAATTGACGCAGTTGGACATCAGTAACACTAGTATCGAAGAAGGTTTAGAATACCTTTAGTGGTCAATTCTTCTGGGGTTTGATCCATTTTCTCAGTAGGAAAAGCTTTTTGTTCTTTAGTAATACTTGGCATTTCTTTTTCTTCTCCTTGCCGATAATCCGGATCCCCCTCATCTTTGACAGGCATCAAAAATAATTTACTTAAAAAATATTTCATGGCATAAGTTTCCGCACTACCTTTGGCTTTAGCCGGGTCATTATTCTGCCCTAAGGCTCAAAAATAATGAGTAAGTTGTTCACTAGGGTTTTCACTATTAATTAGCGAACTAAATACATATTCCCTACTTGTTCACAACTAAATTCTTTAGTTTCATCATCACTTAGTAAAATGGTTAAGTGGTATTTTTCTAAGAGGGGTTTTAATAGGTTGAGGACTTGTAATTCGTTGAAAAATTTATATTTTTGAAATTTATTTTCTTCAGTGCGAATTAGTTCTTTGATTTGGGATTGGATTAGTTGGAGTTTTTGGTAGAGGTTAAGATTACTTGAAGTTTTTTGGTCTTTTTCTTTTGATAATTTTGCACTCATATATTAAATTAATTTCTGATTTTTAGTCTCACAATTTTATACCTTCCGCCAACTAGTTTTGCTAATTTTTTTCTCATAAAAAGTTTCTACTCACTGTAATTGTCGATCGCTTTTATTCCAAACCAGTTTATAATACTTTTGGCGAAACTCTTTTCATTTATTAGTAATTCCACGATTATCCTCATATTCTACTTCTCATTCTTCTAATTTAGTTTTTCTTTGCCTATCCAGCAATCTTTTTGCTTTCTGATATTTATCTTTTCTTTTTTTTTGAATGTACTTATTGTAGCCTTTGCGACGCTCTTGTTCAGATTGTCAGGCTACCTTACCTAACTTTTTACCGTATTTTTTAATTAAATCTTCTTCAGTAGTTTTTCACTTTATCGAACCCGTTTTTCTTTGGTGAAAATAATCATTGATTTCTTTATATTCTTTCCTCCGTTGTTTTTCCCCTGCTCGCTCTATCTCTTTGGTCCCTAACTTGCGATAACGTCAGTTAACCAAGAGTAATAAGTGTTAAATATATATATATAAGTAGAATAACGCATTTGGCTTTCTGCTTATATACAGTTCACCGAGAGAGAGAGAGAGAGAGAGAGCAGTCCAAAAAGTTAACGGAATTTCAAAAGATTGCTCTTTTCCCTCCTCTTTCTCAAATATTTTCTAGGTTTTTGGTCGAAATAAATAACTTAGAAAATATTTTGCTAGTAATTAATTTCTCAGTAATTTTACTTATTTTCACCATGATTTGTGAATTACCCACCATTTATAGAAGTGGGGCTTCTAACAATTCAGAATAACAACAGTTTACTAACCCTTACGGACTAGCATGGGCCTGTTTCACGAAGTTCATTCCAAACTCCGTTATTTGTGCTTTATACAAAATATTCCTAGCAGCATTGATATCTCTATCTAGAACTAATCCGCAATAAGCACAAATAAATATTCTATCACTTTTTTCCTGCTTAACTGGATGCCTTTTTTGGCATCGACTACATGTTTGACTAGTATAAGCGGGATTAACCTTAACTACCTTCTGACCAGTCTCTGCCACTTTGTCTCAAAGTAGTTTAAGGAATAACGATAAAGCACTATCATACATTCTCTTGGCTGAATATCACTTACTTTTCTCTTGTTCTTTTTCAACAATTTTGCTTGATTTGAAGTTCTCAACTCCAAAGAAGTCATAATTATCTCTTAATCACTTAACTTCTTTGAAGGCAAAATCTTTTCTTTGATTAGCCACTTTTTCGGCTTCTTTGGCTAATCTCAATTTGGCTTTTTGATATCTTTGGCTACTTTTAGTTTTATCCCCTTTGTCTCTCTTGTGCTTTTTTCGAGAAATTTTTTTGGCCCATTTAGTCAAAACTTTTTCGGCTTGCTCTAAAAAGTAAGGACTATCTTTTTTTTCTCCGGTGTCAAGCACTCAAAAATTATCCTCACTAGTGTTGACATCAATTCCAATTTGCTTGTCTAATGGAATAGTTCACTTATCTAATTTTGGTTGAGCCTCTACTTCACAAGAGAAAACAGCATAATATCTTTGGTTCTTAACTAGAATAGAGCAAGTTTTTATTTCTCCTTCTAATTTTCGGTGTTTTCGAATATTCATTCAACCAATTTTGGATAATCACAATTGACTATGTTTTAACCCAATTCGGTCTTGTTTTTGAGTATAAGTAAAACTATCATATCGACCAAGTTGTTTATAACGAGGATAATGAACAACTTTTAGTTTCTTACCTAACTTCTCCAATTTTTCTTTTCTCTTAATCCTTTTGTAGAAATCTTGCCAAGCTTTATCTACTCTCCTTGCTACATCTTGTAATACTTGGCTTTGAACTTCTTTTAAGAAAGGGTGAAGTTTTTTTAAGTCAGGCAAAGAATTTTGCTGGTGAGTGTATTTGATTTCGGTTCGGTCTTTTTCTCATTCAATTATCCTTAATTCTCGTAAATGGTTATAAAGCCAACGACAAATCTCTAAATCTTTGTCAATAATGACTTTTATTATTTCATTAAGGCAAAGTCGATATTTGAAAGACTTTTCTATTTTTTCTTGGGTTTTAATTTTTTTTCACATAATGGGTTTGAATGTATTGCTTAACAGGGGACCTCTTCTAGGGTTAGGTTAAATACAATTAGGGGTTAGTTCAGCACTGCTTTTAGAAATGGCAGGAATAGTCGCCAGCGTTTGGTAATACTCTCTTACTTTTCTTTCACATCACATCCTCCGCAAGGGAAAATTAACAATCTGCAAATATTTAGGATCTGAACAACGAGATAGGGCTGTGTAAACTTGCCCCGCCGTAAAACATTTGCTTAAATCTACTTTTAGTCGCTCAATAGTTTGCCCTTGGCTTTTATGGATAGTCAGGGCCCAGGCTAAAATTAAAGGTATTTGCGTTCGAGTAGCAGTAATAATCGGTTCATTTTTAGCATCATAACCGACCACTTTTTCCCAAGTATGTTCCTTTATTGCCAATTCTTGTCCAGTGGTGAATTTTACTACCGGATAACCCTGATTCGTAAAACCAGTTACTACTCCTTGGCTACCATTGACTAATTTAACTTCATGTCAGTTAAAAATTAACATTACTTGGGTTCCAATTTTTAATTGTAAATGGTCTACTGCTAAGCAATTTTTAGTTAATTCCGCTAACTGGCCAGAACTTTGTTCTCAATTGTGAGCCGGAAAAAAGTGAGGTGGTTCGTGTATTTTTTTTAATTCTTGCTCATTAATGCCGTTTACTTCCTGGTTGGTAGCAAATAAGCTGACCGGCTTAATGCCGTCCGCAGGTCAATTTGGTTCAGATTGTTTTCAACTTAATAATCTTTGTCAACGTTGCTCTGATAATCTTCCTAGGCGAATATCTTCTAAATAAGAAATAAATCAGCCATCTTTTTGCCGGTAAATTTGGGTCAGATTAATAGTTTGGGATATACAGCGGGACCAAGATTGGGCCTCAAAACAATATTTAGCCCCCGCAGTGACGGGTGGCAATTGACAAAAATCACCCACTAAAATTAATTGTAATTTGCCAAAAGGGAAAAAGTTCATTCGTGTGCTCCGGGCCAAACTTTCTAATTTATCAAATAATTCACCATCTAACATGCTAATTTCATCGATAATGAGAACTTTGGTGCGACGCCAATTGCGGTAAGAGTGCTCGAAATTTGGGCTAATGATGCGTTTAAAAAGAGTATCTGCATCCAAATGACTATCGCTTTTTAAACCAAAATAAGAAGCCAAAGTGGTGCCACCAATGATACTAGCACCCGTGCCGGTCAAGGAAGTAATTCCAACTTTGTTGGGACCGTATTTTTTTTGCAAGAGAGTAATGAGGTGACGCAGGAGAAAACTCTTGCCGGTGCCAGCCGAACCCGTGAAGCAGATACTCTCGCCTTTTAAAACTAATTCCTGAATGAGTTTTTGTTCGGAGTTAAGTTCTATTCCGTTTTCTAGACTTTCCAATTTTGGGGTATTTTTTTTATTCATGGCTTTTTTCTTTATTCGGATTCAGTTTCTTTACCCATTTTTGCTCTCTCTCTCATACCATCAATATTTACTTCTCCACCTTGTAAAATTTGTATGTGAATAGTTAATTGCTTCTCCTCAATTTCTTTTATCCTTTCCCGAATTTCATCAGCCCGAATTTGACATTTAATTATGGTTTCGGCTCTGATTAATTCTTTTTCTAAATTTTCTTTTTCAGTTTGCAGATCGTCTTTTTCTTTCATTATGCTGCTAGCATTTAGTTCGCTTTTCATATTATTTTTTATATATTTATATCTTATATTATACAATTATTTTAATAAATATTTTCCTCTTTCTATGGGAGAAGCAGTTAATTTCTCACCACCCATCTCCAAGGAGGGTTTAAGTCAAACCCCTTCTGCTCGATTGAGAATATTCCGAGCGGAATTTATATCTCTATCTAATTCGAATTGACAATACTGACAATAAAACGTTCTATTTGATAATTCTAACTTCTCCTCTGCTAAATTATTACAATTAGAACATGTCTGTGAAGTATTATGAGGATTTACTCGAATGAATTGCCGAGCAACGATTTCAGTTTTCTCGGCAATAGATTTGAATAAAATGCTTCATCGTGCTTGTTGGATGGATTTAGATAAATTTCTATTTCTAACCATGTTCCTAATTTTTAAGTTTTCTATTGCCATTTTATCATAATTTCTAACCAATTCATTTGTTATTTGGTGAACTTCATGCTTAAATTGGTTAACCATTTTCTCTCATTTTTTAGCCAATTGGAGTTTAGCCTCCTTTCAATTTTGCGAACCTTCAACTTTTTTGCTTAAATTTCTACTGGCTTCTTTTATACCTTTCTCTGACTTTTTATAAAAGTTTGGATGTTTATATTTCTTTCCATTGGATAGGGTTATGTAAGACTTCTTTTCCAAGTTAACATCCACTCCTACTTTTTTGCCAGTAAGAGGTAGGATTTTTAATGGAATATTTTCACAAGAGAACAGGGCATAAAATTTACTGTTTTTTCTTTTTATGGTTAGGGTTTTGCAGTTTCCTTGGAAACTTCTTTCCATCCTAATTCTAACTGTTAGATAAACATTCTTTTCTTGCCGGCCAAGAGTTAACTTTAATTCTCTATTTTCTCTTTTTTTAAAAAGAGGAGAGTTATCTATTTTATAACCACAACTACTTTTATCGATTGATTGAGGATAAATAAGAGAGTTATATCGGTGAAGTGGCTTGAAGTTAGGATAACCTTTTTTGCTGTCCAGTTTTTTTAATTCTTCGTTGTGGTTTCAAATTTTATAAACTTGTTTTGCTATTTCTTGGAGAGTTGTAGAATGAGCTTCTTTTAAAAAGGGGCGTTCTTTTTTAATTTCAGTGATCAATTTAACTAACTGATATTCGATAATTTTCTTTTCTCCATTTTTATCCTTTTTTCTTAAATGCTTTAAGAGATAATTATGAAGTCAACAGCAAATTTTTAAATGTTTGTCTATAATTGACTGGTTCCTTTTGCCTAGATTTATTAATTTGTATTTAAAAGCTCTTTTCATAGGAAATTAATTATTAAAAGAGTAGTAATAATTTTTACCACTCCAAAATTAGAGGTGTTATCTCTGATATAATCTTTACAACACCTATATTTATATTTTACTTTTTAATGTTTTTTTTTTTTGCTAAAATGTGTTATATTGCTAGTTAGAGCAATGATATTTATTTAAGAGAAAAATATAAAAACCATGGTATACAACGACGACTTTCAAGGATTTTGGAATAATAAATGTAGCAAAAAGTCATGTGGGGAAAATATGGCGGCCTCCATTGCTGATTTAGGAAAAGAGAATCCTAAATATAAGAATTCGTTAGAAGAATGGCGGACAAGTCACGACAATGGTTCTTTTATTTGCCGAAAATGCTGAGAAGGAGTAAAAAACGTTCAGGATGCCGAGGAGTGAGGAGAAAATTATAAAAAACAACAAAAACATAAAGCCTCCCACTGTCGCCAATGTAATAACAAATCTCTTTTTTACCATTACATTTATGACAAAAGAACTAAAAAAATTGAGCAAACTTCTAGCAACGCCACTGACCCTGAAAATCAATTAGTTTTCTGTAATCAAGACTGTTATGAAAAATATTTCACTACTTCTTGTCACCAATGTAGCCAATCCATCAAGCCCGGTCAAACTTGCTTTTTTTCCAAGAATGATTCCACCATTCGTTTTTGTTCTAAAACTTGTGGCGAAAAATATTTACATAAAAAGCAACAACAACAAACCGAAGAAGAATTAAAGCGAAAGAAAAAGAAGCCCAAGAAGCAGCGGGCCAACTATTTGATAATTTAATAGCGGATATCCAGGCGGGAAAAGATATTAGTAGTTATAATTGAGAAACGGCTGACTGATTAAACGATGAACAAAAGGAAATTTGCCGTAAATATCAGCAAGGGAGAAATAAACCTAATTCAGATACTGCTAATAATGACTTGGACGAAAAAACTAATGACCCAGCCGACCATCATCATTCACCAACCACCCCCAGCGGACCAACTAATAATCCAGAAGATAATTCGGGAAATGGTGATGATTCATCTCCAACTTCCCCTCCATCCAACGGAGATTCTCCCACCTCCTCTTTTACTCCCAACAAACCTACCGGTAATGACCAAGAAGAAAAATGTGGCATTTGCGACCAAACTTTCACGGATGCTGAAGAACATGGCCGGGAAAATCCCCAATGCCAAGCCTTTTGCGAGGCCTGTGAAAAAATATTGAACCAGGGACAGACAGTCGATTATTCATCAGTGGCCACTTCTGAACGTGGTCGTCTGATTATTAAAACTTTACAAGATTTAAAAATTTATAAAAAATGAGTGGATATTGACAATCTTGTTTTACCAATCGAAGCCAAAGAGAACTTAAAAGAATTACGGAAGCAATTGGGGTTGTACCAGGACACAACAAGAGATAATCCTGATGAGGAAAAAAGTTCAGGCGGATTGAATACTCAAGGCAAAATAGGAGTCAGCATTCTATCGGTAGGAGGTTTTATCGGACTAATATTTTTGATTAGGAAATTACGCCGGAGGAGTAAGAGGTTGAAGAGGAAGAAATAAAAAAATATGACCAAGCCCAAAAGCACTCTCTCCTTTTTCGTTACCATAAATAAGCAAACTGAAGAATTAACTTTACAAGAGGGAGGGTTATTGAGTCTAAAAATTCCTAAATCTTGGCAAAAGCCTGATACTAACACTAATAATCCAGCCTTATGAGTCTGTCATTTACCGGCTAATTCTTGGGGAATAGTTTTTATTAGTTTGTATCCAACTGAGTTAGTTATTAAGAAAAAAGAGATCGAAACTTCTTCTGGTGATGATTCGGAAGAGATAGACCAAGAGTTAAAAGAATTAGAAAGCTCAGAAGATAAGCCCTTAATCGTTTATCGAGGGATTTTGGAACCCAATGGCGAAAACGACCAAGAAAGATTTTATCGCTGCCGATTAAAAAGAAAAAAAGAGGAAGAACCAAAGCCAGAAGGCAAAAGTTCTGGTTGAGGAGTGCTTTTAGCGTTTATAATTATTATAATTGTAGTTCTTGCTATATATACTTCGACTTCCAACTAACCATTTTTATCCCCTAATCAGTCTTTTCCATCCATAAAACATTGCTCCTCCGAGCAAAATAATTATCACTCCCAGTCCTATTTTTCCCCAGAGCCAATTATTTTTTGGTAAAGAACTTTCAGTCGGTACTTTTTTTTCTGATTCTTCCGATTCAGTTTTATCTTTGTTATTCCCTAAATTGGGAGTTAAAGTTTCACCATCACTAGAACTATTTTGTTCCTCACTCTTGGCACTTTGACTATCCATCTCTTCTTTATATTTCAAAAATACTTGGTAATAATCGTCAAAATTTTCCCCTAACCAGCGTCATTTTTCGTCATTCTGGATCGGAAAAATTTCAACCCCTTGATCGTTGCCATAAAAAAACAATTATACTCACATGTATACCTTAAAACCACCTTTAAAAGTCAATTGCTTTAAGTGCCAAAAAAAACTTACAGTTAACTTCTGTCCCCCTCGCCAACATTACAGTAACAAAAATAACTGAGGTTATTGAACTGGTCAAAAGGAAAATCAAGGCAAATACATTTGTGATACTTGCTTAATCGATATGTATCAAAACCACAAGCAAGTTTACTTAAACTCCATTACGGACAGCAAAAAAAGACGCACCCTCCGCACTTATATTTATGGCAATACTATTCATGTTTAATTTTTTTGAAGCATACATGTTAGCATATATGTATAAAATAAATATATAGTTGATGTGCTAAACTGTGAAAGATTAAGATAATAAAACAGTCGCTAATCTGCTAAAATTAGCAAAAATATCAAAGATAAATAACCTAATAATATGAAAATAAATAGTAAAAAAATTAAATCATTGTTTTTATTGAGTTTAGTGGGTTCAGCTTCAGGTAAAGAAGAAAAACCTAATAATCAAACTGAGATTTCTTATCCAGTAGAAATGAACCCAAAGGAAATGTTTAAAAGTATTAATTATTCATGGGAGTTTGCTGCTAATGATGAAAAGATTGCCGATAAAGTTCCAGGGCAAAATTTATTAGCGGCTGGTTCACCAATTCTGGTAGGCATTAATGGACCAAACGGGACACTTTGAAACAAATGCACGGGTAGTTTTGCGATGGTCAATACGAACAGTAGCAATTGCGAGAATGGTAATGATTATGGGGGCTTTTTAACTTCCTTTTTTTGTCCTCCGCCAGTGTTCAGTGTCACACCGCCACCAGAAGTTGTTAATTGAGATAGTTCGGTATCGTTAGGTAAACTCTATTATGGTCCTACAATGTATTGGAATAGGTCGCTTGATGATTATTGGCATTTAACTGCTGAATATGTGTATATCAGTGCCGATTTAACTAGTGTGAAACTATTTCCTTTTGTTCCCAAAACTACTGATGAAGGCACGACAGATATGATTCCAGTTATTTCTTCATCCGACCCAACTAGTCCCGGATTTCCAGTATGTGTTTATGGAGCCGCTAGTGGTACCCGGTGTGGCAATATTGCTGAAATAGATCTAAATTTAACTGTACCTAACCCGATATTTAAAGAAAGTAGTGATTTAATGCTGAATAGTCTCAATAAAGTAGACTTAGGAACCAATGGTTTGCTTAGCGAAGACATTGGAGCACCGGTCTATGCCGAAACTCAAATTGGCGAGCGTACCCTGGCTCAAGCACTGGGTCATGTTAGCGTAATTGATAATAATGATCCCCAACATCAATCCTTTTATTATACTCCTCTTGAGCAAGTGTTAGATGGGGTAAGTAGTGATCATTATTGCACTTATTCTTTACTAACTTATAACGAAACTGAGGCTTCAAAATGACAAGAGTTACTAACTCAGGTTGAAATTCCTCCTAAAAAATAATACTTTTTATTATGAATACTAATTTATTTAAATCCATTTTTTTAATAATTGCTCTTATTCCTTCGGCTACTTCTACTAATAATTACTCACTACCCCTTCCAGAAACAGATCTAAAAATGGGGCAAAATAGTTCAGAATTGGCTGAGAGAGAAGAACCAACATATTTTCATGGTGGATTTGGTGTCACAAAAATTTCTGTAGATAAAGGTGAATTACCATGCCAAAGATCCTGCACTCTTTCTTTTCCGGTGTACACGAGTTATAGTGTACTAGGATTTTTAGCTTCTGGGGTTTGTACCGGTGGTGGTGACATTTTTGTAAATGATACTAAGGTTGGTAGTTCTGGTTGATCTATGTTTACGAGTGATCTTGATTATGCATTTGTGCAGGTATATTCTGATTATTGGTCGAATGAAGTTAGTCGAAAAATTTCCTATTCTCAATGTGCTACTGGTAAAGGTATCGCAGATGTTGATATACTTTTACCATTAATAGATACTCCTAATCAGCCCTCTCTTCCTAATTTTACAGTTTATGCTTATGGGGGAGATAGTGGCATTGTAAAGGGAGCAATTTTAGAATTTGGCGTGGAGATACAAACACCAACTCCATGACAATGTGGCAAGAACATTGCTAATTTTAAGAATGTAACTAAAGTACTAATGAATAAACCTTATTCTCCTGGTGATCTCGGAGCACCAGTTTATATTCCTCTTCAAATTCCTAACTCTACTCGACTCGTGGCTAGTCCAGTAGGACAAGTGGTAGAAAATGTGGGGAATAATAGCGAGGAGAATATCTGATATTACATCCCTCTCGACAGAATTCTCGAAGATAGTGGATTTGGGTTAGCAACCAGTAGACCATAATAACCAATTTTTGTAAACAAATATTATGAAAATCTTATTTAATTTTATTTTATTAACTTTTTCTTTCGTTTCTTTAACAGATGCGTTAAATAATGTTTCTTTCTCTGATAATTTAAGTGTGGGGTCAAATATTTCCGAAATTATTGTTCCTAGACAACCTAATCAACCACAGGAGGTATATACTTATGGTGGTTTTGAAGTCTGATTTTCCTCGGATTCCACACGTTTTATTGAAAGAACCGCTAAAAGATGCACCCTTGGTTTTCCAGTAAGAAAGCCAAATGGACCACCCCGAAGTCGATTTGACCATGGATTTTTAACTCTTGGTGGTTGTCAAGTTAATCGGGGAGGTACTAACGGTGTTTTTCGTGTTCAACCTTCTCTGGTGGATCCGAATGTAAGAGAAATAATCCGTGTGGGAACATCTGGATCTACGATCTATGCTGAAGACTCTGGTTTGAACTATAACATTGTAAGACTACTTCCTAATAATGCTCAATACTTATTTTGAAGTGACGTTATAAGTGCCTCAGTTCAAGTTCCAGGTGGATTTGCCGATGTAATCGCTGAACAACTTGTTCCTAATGCCGAAACTCCGGTTTGTTTTTCAGGAAGTTACTCCGGTAATGTTTGCGGAACAGTTACTGAACCAGTAACAACAACAGCAACGATTAATCCTTGAAGATGAAAGGATTATATGCGAGATTTTAACTTGAATCCGACGGATTATTTTCAAGGTTTAATTAGGGTTCGGTTGGACACTGTTCCTCTTGCCTTCAATGATGGTGTGGATTATGACAGAGGTGCTCCTGTTTACTTTCCCACTCGTAATGATTTTGGTCAAATAATCAGGGTTCAACCAGTCGGCATTTTAATGGAAATCACTCAGGAAGCCAGAGTTAATGAAGGTGTATGCCAAATAGAATATTATGCTTATTGTGTTTCGGTAGATAGAATTTTGCGAAATAGTCAAGATTTAGATTTGATTGGGATACCTCCTCAGTAACTAAATTAGCGGTTGGAAATTATTAAAAATAACCCCTTTTTAAATACTTCCTAAAAGTATATTTCTTATTAGCAGGCATTTTGTTTTGATAATTACCTAGACAATTGCCACACAGAACTTTTTCTCTAACATTTATTCCTCAAAATTTCGGGTCATTCCGATTTTTAATCACCCTTTTTTTACTGGCTGCGGCTAAACTTCCGCATTTCGAACAGCCTGAATATTTCTTTAAAATTTGGTATTGCCGAAATTTTTCTTTGAAATTGATTCACAAGTAAGTAATAAACAAAAAGCCGAGCAAAAACAAGTCAATATAGAATACTGAAAGCCCAAAAACCGAGCAAATTATAAACAAAATCCCTTATAAACTCCTTAAATTAGAAAATATTCGGATAACCAGCAAGCAACCAACAAAAAAAGCCAATCATTATCGGGTGAAGTATTTGGATAAATGGCAAAATAAAGGTTTCTTTTTCATGGATGGTTATTTTAGGGATAAAAAAGGAATAATTCAGCCGAATTTAGTAGGTGATTTTTGCTAATGAAAGGGTATAAGTATCAGTTTTTTTCTAAATTTGTTTAAAACTATTATAATATTATGGTAAAAAATAATTCAGTATTTCCGCCTCAAGAGGAATTCGAAAGAGTGGTAAAAAGAGTAAGTAAAAGCGAAAAAAGAACTAATATTGGTTTAGCCCCTAATGCTTCGCCGATAGAAAAAACTAAGTATGATTTTTGTCAAACTATCGCTCGTTATCGCCGCGAAAATAACTTGGAGGAAAGAACTGTCGCTCAACAATTAGGAATTACTTCCTCTCGTTTAGATAGTATTCTTTATAGTCATATTGACGAGTTTAGTTTGGATGAGTTAGCCAACTATGCTAATAAACTTCATATTCACTTTGATTTAAACTTAAAAGTTATTGATTATGGTCGCGAAAAATCCCCCACCGAAGCCTACTAACTTACGACCTTATGAATGTGATTTGATTATTAACGGTCAGTATCTAACTAAATTAGAAATTAGTCCGTATTATGAAAAGCATAATGAGGAATATTTAGAAAAATTAAAAAGAAAAGGGATTAAATTATCAGAGAAAGAGTTAGCCGAAAAACTGATTACTGATGATCTGATTAGGAAAATATTGGCTCCTCAATTGCACACCAAAGAAGTTAAATTAGAAGGTCGTTATTATCATTGGACTTATTATTCTTATCGAACTTTTAAGGAGACTGAAACTAAAATAAAGGCTTATAAATTAGTGTGGTGTTTTTCTGACAATGAGAATCTCATATTTTAGGGATAATGGATTGTTATCGCCAGCGTAAGTATGACAAGAAATTAAAGTAGTAGTAGGAGACAAATCCCTAAAAAATCTCGGTCATTATGCCTAGTGGATTTTCTTTTTTGCGAGAATACCAAGTAGGTAAGAAAACAGTTTGAGAATATTCTTGTTCTTTCTCATTCAACCGCCAAGAGATAGGAGCCATTACTATTACTGATTACTGGTTAACTAAACCCGGACGAGAAAAATTACTAAAGAATTAATTTGTCAATTAGGAAAGTTGGACAAAAAAAGATTGTGACCCACTAGTTATTCCGGTTTTCGACAACCTTTCATTTTTGAAACCACTCACCAAAACAAGTGCTATCGCTTGTATTTTTGATTTAAAGACGGAGTTAATAATCATTTATGAATTAGAAATTGTCGTCGGATAGATTAATTTTTAGTCTCCAAATATTCCCCCATTTCCTGAAAAGTTAAATCTACTCCTAAATAATCTCTTTTTAATTCTTGACAAACTTCTAGCACGATAAAGGAGCCAACACAAGGGTCAATAACCAGATCTCCCTTATTAGTAGTGGCCGTAATTAAAGCCCTTATTAACTCCTTTGGTTCTGATGTGGATGCCTCCTTTGCCTAGTAGGTAAACTATTTTCTTCTCACACTGTCCCAAAAGCCCGATTAGTAAACTTTTTTCCAGTCGTTGGGTATTTTTGTAATAAAAAGCAGAATTCAGCATTAGAACGGAGTCAGGTGCCTAATCCCAAAGTATTCTTTTTATACCAAACCAGACAGTCTACTATTTTTAAAAGAGGGTACTTTTATCATTCAAGTCGCAATTCTATCACTTCCTAATAAACCTTTATTTATTCATAAAAGACAAAAGGAGGAAGGTTTTAATACTCTCCCTACTTGTTCTATTATCCTCATTATTTGATAATCACTTTGGGGATAAAGAGGGTAATCCAGTTTAAGGACTTTTTTCATACTGGGGATCTAAGAAAATGAGATCGGCACTATTACTCTTTAAACTAGCCAATAATTCTAATGTCTCCCCCGCTTGTTTAATGTTTAATAAATATTGTTTTTTTTCAGTTTAATCCGACTAATATTTTGATTATAAATCCTTAATATTTACTTGTTTTTCTTCTCCTTTTCTATCTTCTCTCAATAATCTAATATTAATTTTTAACAATTTTTCTTCAATTGCTTTCATTCTGGATTCATTTTTATCTTTTTTTGCCTGGGAATTGATTATTGTTTCTAATCTGGTGTTCTCATTTTCTAAATGTCTTTGCTCTTTTAATAAATTTTCTTTTTCTTTTAGTAAATCTATTTTTTGATTCATAGCGGTTTTTATTTGTGTAATGTTCCCTTGGCTTCTCCCTGTTCTCTTTTATAGTTTCTCTTTACTTGTGCTAATTAGTCTGGGCTAACTGTTATAAGAAAAAGAGAATTAAAAATAAGAGAAAAAGAAAGGTTCAAGAGCCTTTTTGCATCATTACTTATTTAATAAGTAAAAAATTTTTTGAGAAAAAATAATATATATTCTCCTCCTCTGGCCTCCTTTCGAAACATATAAAATTAAAAATATAGGTAATACTCTTATCTATATGCTCCCATTTAGGAGGTTCCAAGATTAAGATTTTTCAACTACGGCCTTACCCGATAAGGCATTTCAGTTGTTACTCTAAATGGATTATCATTTTCGCAACTGTCTTGTTAGGTTTACGGTTGATTATTCTCCCTAGCAAATGAATCTTGCTAGGTTTTGTGCGACTTTTCGCACAGAGAACTTAATCTTTGGTATTTCCCCACCAGTTTTTTTTAGGCTGGTGGTGGGAAATGGGTTAATTTCCCAAGAAAAGAGATAAATGAGATTGTTTATTTCCTTTGTTTGGAAATTACTTGATGATGTATATAATATATTTTATATGTTGCTGCTAGTGTGTTGTCATATATAATATATTTATTTACTCTCATACTTTCTTAACCAATACATATATCTACGCACATTAGCCCGTTTGTTGTTGCTTTTAACTTGGTTCAAATATTCAGTTTTATTTTTATAAAAAAGTTCCGACAAGCAATTATCACAAATATACTTATCTTTATTTTCTTTTTTTTCGGTCAGTCATTCTCAATTATTTTTTTGAGAGTATCGCTTTTGGGGATAATTGTATTTAACAAATATTAATCGTTTGCACTGAAAACATTTAACTTTTAAATAATCTTTTAATTTGATGGGCATATAATAATTGTTTTTTTTGGTTTTTAATCTCTTGTGCCGTTGCCGTAATTTCTGAACTAAAAATCCCAGAAACTCAAAGACAAATGTTAATTGACCTTACAATCTTCTTTTTTTCACCCTTTTATTTCTCATTCTTTTTACTACCACAATCACTACTACATTATTAGAGCGGTTAGGTCGCTAACTGTTTTTTTTTTTTTTTTGCTGATTGGTTCCATATTTTTAAGACTTGTTATAAAAATCAATAAATTTGTTAAAGATTTCGGTAGAACTTAAACTAGATAGATTGCCCCTTAATTCTTCCAAAAGAGAGTTTAACCTTGCTTTTATTTCTCCAGCATTAGAACTACTGCCGGCGGAACTACCACTGCCATAATTACCAGAACTGATTTTGTCTTCCAAAGTGGCTAGGCGACTTTTGATTACTGCTATTTCGCCGCTGCTGGCCCCTTGAGCCCCGACCCGCTCAATATTGCTCTGTAGAATTCTCAAATTATTATTAAAGCCTTCTCTCATTCTCTCCATTGCATCATTAATTTCATTAACTTTGTTCTGAACTTCTCGAAACTGGTTTTGCACGTCATTTACTTCTAACATTAAATTCTTAATGCCCCGAATATCCTGGGCAATTTCAGCATTAACATTTTTGGTGGCATTTATAACTGTTACTTCCTGCCCAATCTGGTCGTAAATTCCCCAAATAGCCTCTCGTGTATTAAAAGCGTCCCCAAAATCATAAGCCCGAATTTGGTCAGCACTAGTGAAAGAATCTAAGTCTTGGCGATCATTGTAATCATGAAAAGTAAATAAAAAATGGAGGATTCAGTTACAAACTTTTTCTTCCTCATCCTTACCATCAACTTTTATTTTTTTACCGGTAGGAAATTTTCCTAATTCCTTTTCCTTACTTTTTTTCCACTCTTCATTCTTAATCTTTTGTTGATAAGACTTAATAATTTGATTGGCTTTATTTACTAATTGTAGATTATCCCGAACCGCCACTTTTTTTAGAGTAAATTGGTCAGCAAATTTGGAATAGCCAAAGCGACTAGTCATTTTGTATAAGTCTTGGTAGTTAACATTACCAGCGAACAATCACCCCGGATCATTTTTTGGCCAATTAACTTTTTCTCATTCGGAATCATTTCTATCTCCATATTCTTCTAATAAGGCTGGAGTTCAGTTAAAGTTTAATTTTTCCCCTAATCTTCCCCTTCTAACCACGGCCGGATCAATCTGGTCAAAATTATTAGTAGCAATAATAATAATAGAATTAGGATCTTGTGCTTTGGCTTTTAAACCCGCTTTATCTTCACTGGTAGACAGGAAATTTTTAAATTCTTCTAATAATTTTCCTTTTTCAGCAGTCATCACATTTTTTCCTTGGTCTGCCTCCTCGATGAAGACGATATAAGGTTTATCAGAGTAGGCGTTGTCAAAATATTGTTTTTTGCACTTTTCAATAATCATCCTTAATTTATCCTCTGGATTAGGCTGATCGGTTACGGCTCCTCCTGTTTGCAGTTGGACCCCATCAATTTTAAAAACAGGTGGGACCCAATGGCTTTTTTGTAATTCGGATAATTCCTTTTGCTTGGCTGTTAATTCCCGGGTTATTTGGTCTACTTTTTGCTCCAAAACTTTATCTTCCTTGGTTGTTTCTTCGGATTTTTTACTTATGGCGGCTTGTTGTTGACGGGCCTTTTCTAGTTTGGTCTCAATTTGTTCGATCTCTTTGGTTAATGTTTTAACTTCAGGATTGCTAAATTTCTCGTGTAAGTGGTGAACTAATTCGTTTACTAATTCAGTTTTACCGGTGCCGGGTGCTCCATATAATACTGCGTTATATCTTTTTAGAAAAGGAGTGACATTATCATTATAGTTATCAGGACCTAATTCTTCGCTATTCACGTGCTTAATTATAGAGTCTAGAACATTATGGATATACTCTTTAACTTTCCGGGTAAAAATTAATTTCGGTTGCATATTTAAGCATTCTTCGCCCGCTTGGCAATTTTGGCAAGAATTACAATTTTGACAGGCGATAGTTTCATGGTCTATCATTCCCAAGTGATTAATATTTTCTACTGATAAAATGCTATAAGAATTAGAAGGCGGGGTCCAGCCGGTTAATTTTTGTTTGGTCATTTCGGCTATGTCTCGCTTTAATTTTTCATCTTCTTCTAATTGTTTTTTAGCCTCTTGGCGTTCTTTTTCCGCCTGCTCCTTAATGCTGGTTTTTTTATAATTCAAATAAACATTAAATCCCAGAAGACCGAAAAATACTACTACCGCAGTAACAATTAAAACTAATATTAATTTTCTAACAGTGCTCAGCATAATTCTTATGATTTATTTGTGATTCAGCGGTAAACAAAATATGCCAGCAATAAAATAACTAAAACAATCCCCCCATACATTATTCTTTTGCCTCATTTTTGGGGAATAAAACCCAAATATTTTTTTTTGCCTTCTTTGTCCTCTTCCTCTTTTTGAAACCTTAAAAAAGACGTTTCGCCAGTTCAAATTTTTTGGATAATATCTCTTAATTCGCCCTCCTTTTCATCACTAAACAGGTCATAAATAGGATCTTTTTTTATCTCGCCTAGAAAAATTTTGCTTTCCCTCAGTTTGGCCTGATAGGCAGCATAAAGTTGATTTTTCTTGACAAGGTCCTTTTCCTCCTTTCATTCCTGTAATAATTGGGTAGCCTCGCGTTGCAACTGACCCAATTTTTCTTTTTTTTCTTGAAAGGCTTTTAGTTGCTCTCAAGTGGTATTCCTCAATTTTTCTATATAATAACTTAAATCTTTCGCTAAAAGTTTTAGAGAGGTCTGAATCTTTTTCAAAAAAACGTTATGAGTTCCATCAATACCGATACAAGTTCCTCCAAAAAACTCACTTTTACTAACATCATCTTGACATTTCGCTTCGAGGGTTTCAAATTGCGTAATTAAGGCTTCTTTGGCCTTATTAAATGCTTTCTCACTTTTGCTACCATCCAAAGTAATTTTTCGGTTTTCCAGGGTGTCAAATTGCCGGAAACTTTTGTTAATGATTCGTAAATCATCAGCCATTAAATGTTGCCCTCCATAATTACATTGTCCGCCGACAAAATAATTCCCCTTACATCATTGACAATTAGCATGCCCCTCTTTGGCTAATCCATTAGTTGTTTCAGTGCCGACACAGTGGGGCTTATCCACTAAGTTTAAGAAGTCTCGTTCGGTAATTTCATAAGGCATAATTATTTGTTAGTAAATAAAGATCTGATTTTGTTTCAAATCCATATTAGAAGTAGGAAAATAGTAAACAAGATTACTATCGACAGCGTAATAAATCCCCAAGTGCGGAGGCTTTTTCAACTAAATTGTGGCGAGTTATTTTGCTCTTCTTTTAAAAGGTCTTTGTATGATTCTTTGGTTGGAACCTCTTTCTTTTCAGCATTTATTTGGGCGGCTTCTCTTTTTCCCTGATTGAGAATAGCAATAAGTTTGTTTTCCAAGGCTTTATCGCCTTTCTTTCTGGCTTCGGCTGTTTCTTGGGCGATCCGTAAATTTTGCTCCTCTTGTTTTTGCACCCGCTCATTAATTTTTTCAATTTCTTCTTTACTTTTGGCATCTATTCTCTCCATGATGGCTTGCATGTCTTTCTCTTTTATTTCCAGTGGCTTAGTTTTATCTTTTTTGATTTCTTGAATTTCGTCAAATAATTTTTTAAATTCTCCTTGCTCGGGGTCGTGGGGTTTTTCGGTTTCAGCATGCTCTTTTTGGTCCTTTTTATTTTTTTTGTTTTCCTCATCTACTTCTTTTTTCTTTGCTTTGTAAGATTCATAATTGTCGGCATCATATTCTTCTAATTGTTTGTCCACGCTATTTTTTCAGTCGGCAACCAAAATTTTTTTCCTGCCTCGCATTTGACCGCTGGTGCGAAAGCCAGTTAACGAAATTTCTAGGGTAAAACCTTTGTAATTAATTTTGTTATTGTTAGTGTTGTCTGACCAGGCAAGGGTAAAAAAAGCTTTAGCACCGCTGCAACCCCCACTTTCAGCAATATTAGTTGTTTGACTTACCATGATTTTACTTGATTGCTCCCACTAAGGAATTGAACAATTTCTTAATAAGCATGATTATCATAATTAGAATGAAAAAGCAAATTGTAATGATCCCTCAATTTTTATAACTGGTTCAATTGATCGAATTAGATTTCTCAACAAGTTGCTCCTGCGTTAAAGTATCATCAAATCCTTGATAGATATCGTCAACTTTTTTATCGCCTTCTTCTCGGGCTTTTTGAAGTTTTCCAATTTCTCCCTTCAGATCTTTAACTTCTTTTTTGCTCGCTTCTATTGCCACCATCAAACGATTTTTTTCAGTTGGATCGCTAGTATTTTTTACTTCTTCGGCCATTCTCGTTATTTTTTCTTCTAGTTTTTGCACTTGCTCATTTTTTTTGTCAATTTCCTCCTCAATTTTTTCGTTCCGCTTTTTGTGGTACTTAACGCGGTCTTGACGTCATTGTTTGCGGTCATTATAAATTTGCTTAGGTGTCATTCTTTCCATTCCCGGAATTTGCCTGAGATCATTAGCAGGGGTGCTACCAAAAGACTGTGTAATTTTTTTGGTGGCATAAATCCCCCCAATTAATCCTACTATTCAAGGAACAACTTTAATGGCTACGGCGGCTACGGCTGGTAATGGCATATTTTTCTAATTTTCTTTAATTTCTTGTAATTTTCTCGATTCACCTGCACTATTAATCCCTAAACATGCTTCCAATAAAACTGAATATTTTCTTAATTATTCAGATAAGTATCAGCGCCTCCAATAAACATAATCAATAAAGATAATCAATTGGCTTTGCAATAATTACCAAAATCGCTAATATTACTAATACCCTTGGTGGGTCAATTTAAAAATTTCTTAATACTGTCTAACATTTACTTTAATTTGTCTTTTTTCTAACTTTACTACTTGCCGGCTAATTCTCACAATTTACGGATTAATCAAATCACAAACAAAATGGCAAAGAAATATAATATCAGATACACTCAAAAAAACGGGCTACCGGAGTCCGTAAATCCAGCTCGATCAATAAATTCTTTAATTTCTTTTCACATAATTTCTAATTCTTAATATCGCTAATTAATTTCTTGATAAATCAGATTATAATCAATATTCCTATGAATACTAATAATATCACGTATCAATTGTCTTTGGCTCAGATGGCCTTATCTTTAATTCAGATTCAAATATCGGTTAAATTCATACAATTTTTAATTTTCTTTATTGGTAAAAAAAATGCTCATAATCTTTTTCGTTATATAATGTAATACTAAACCAACCACCAAAAATATTCCAGCTGTTCAGGCAATATTTTTAACTGATCAGTGGATACTACCTAATCCTTTCTCTTTAACAGCCTTTAATCAGGCAATTTCCTCATCGTTTTTTTTTATCTCGGCTAACATTTTGTCGACTTTTGCTTTAGCCTCTTTATAACTTTCATCATTTTCTGAAATGGTTTCTTCTTTTAGGGCTTTTTCCGCTTCTTCACCCTCTTCTTTGGCTTCTTGTCGAGCCTTTTCTCGTTCTTGAATTAAATCATCAATAGTTGTCATGTCATTTTTGACCTTATTATAAAGAGTGGGGTCGGCTTTTTTTAAACAGCAGCCAACGGTTTCTAAAAAATAATAGGCGACGGCAGCAGCCGCTATTCAGGGGATTATAAGTAATAATTTCATAAATCAATAATTATTGTGGAACCCAAACTAGGTTCGATACTGGCGTTCTCAAACATATATTATATTTTATTATAGGTATTATTATGTTTATAGGTGTAAAAGTTATTAAAATTATTTTATAGCGTAATAAAGTAATGGGTTAAAGGTGAGTATATTCAAAAATTAGAAAAAGAAATTAGAGGATTAAAAACCAAATCAAAAATGAAAAGCCAAAAAACCCAAGCGGAACCAACTAATTTTAATTACCGAAAGTGAGGACTAATTGGAATAATTATTTTGCTAGTAATTGGTCTATTAGTTTGAGGATACCGCCGAATTTTAAAATTAATTTAATAAGCAAAATCATGAATAAAAAAGAACTAAATAATAATAAAATAAAGGCAAAATTAGAAAGCCTTAACATTCCACCCTTGGCACTAGCAAAATATTTTTACGGCCAAAAGGTGAAAGACATAGCCGCTATTCAGAGGCTAATTTACCTAGTATTTTTGAAAATTCTCCAAGAAAAAAACGTCTTACTTTTTACCGAAGAATGACAGGCCTGAAAGGGTGGTCCAGTCGTAGAAAGTGCTTTTCAGCCTATGTCCGAGAGCCAGGATTATGCTAATCTTTTTACAAATGTCCCAGAAATAGAAAATAAAGAAGTTTTATTGTATTTAAAGGAAATTTATCACAGTTATCAAAATTATAAAAAAACTAAGGATGAATATAAATTATTTGAAAAGGCTCGAAATAAACCTTGACAATTAGCCCGCCGTAACTTGGTGGATGAATTTGATTATCAAAAAATAGAATTAGGTGATATTCTCAGTTATATTAAACAGGAGAGGGATTTAAGATTGTAATTGTATGTTTTATTTAGGAATTAGCCCTTACATCAAAAAATTGGTCTGTATTCATGAGCCAGATTTTACTAATGCCATTTTTAGTCATAAAAGCCAAGTCTGACAATTCTCCTTGTGGCAGACCATTTACGGCGGTTGAGAAGCAGTCAAAGCCAGCCCGCATTTTTGTCTTATCGAAGATGGCTATGATAAAGTGAAAATAGGAGAATATTTGAGATTAAGCAAAAAGCAAATTACTAATTTAAAAAATGAAGACAATATTTACCAAATACCGCTAGGTGAAGAAGAAAAATTTCGAGCAATAGGGATTTTGAGAACTAGTGGTGAGAAATATCTTTTTGAATTACTGTTTTTAGATCCTAATCATTTATTTTATCCTAATTTAGCGAAAGTGGAATATCCCTGCGGGGATAAAGCAATTTGTCTGATGAGTAAAGAAAATTGTTCTCAAATTTCTGAATGTCAACCACTCCCACTAAAAGAATGAAGAAAAATGATTACTGAAAGAAATAAAACCAAAAGAAAAAGAATTTAATGTTTTTATGCCCAACCTCCAAGAATTTTATCAGTGATTACAATCCAATCCTGCCAATAAACAAGGTCTAGAATGAAACTGATTTCCCGGAGATGACCGCATTGAAATGCCCGGCATTGCTATTGGTAAAGATGAACCTCCCTTTTTTTTCAATTATTTACTAATCGAAGAAGGGGAAAAGGATTGACAACTTATCTCAATTGGTCCAAGTTATGACTTTGATTTAACTCCTTATTTAGAGGTAATTAAGGGGTATCGAGAGAGAGAGAGAGAGAGACAATAACCAATATGTTTAGCGGCCAAGACGAATTTCAACAATGATTACATGCTGACCCCCGTCGGCAGAAAAATTTACCCCACTGGGAGGAATTTTTTAAGTTTGATTTCAAACAAAATTATTATGATTATTTACAAGCATGGGAACAAGATTATGGGAAAATGTTTGCTTATTTAGAAGTTTATAGCGAGTGATTATCTACCAAGAGTCAGAAACAAAGAAACGAAATGGGTGAAGGATTAATGTCGTCATCGTCTACGCATCGTTTAACTTTAATTCATTCATCCAAAATCATTTACCAACAAGTGCAGGAGATTAAAGAGTTAAAAGCGACCAAAGAAGAGTTAGAAACTAAAATTGAAGACTGAAAAATTGAAATAAATGATAAAAATAATGAATGGGATAGAGCAAAGCGTTTCTATAATTACCTTTTTGAACTCTATGAGAAAGCAACCCCAGAAAATATAGTAACTCTAACTGAGGAAGCAAAACAGGAAGTAAAAAAACTGGAAGAGGAGGATTCTGAATCAGAGGAGACTACTGATTATCTTTATCAAAAGATAGATAAAATTATGGCTTTTGCCAAGGAAAAAAATATCATCACTCAGAAGTTAGAATTAGCCGAGCAAAAAATAACTGACCTCGAACAACAATTAACTCAAATTCGTTCTCAACAATTATATCAGCAAATTATCGCTCTCCGCACTGAAAAAGGAAAATTAAAAGAAGAATTAAATCACTTATGGGAACAATTAAAAAATAATCAAGATAATCCGGAATTAGTGCGGCAAATTAGCGAAAAAGAAACGCAATCAAACCAATTAAAAGAACAATTAAAAAAGGCTAAAAAAGAACAAGATGAAAAAGATGCTAGTTGAGCCCAAGAAAGACAAAGATATAAAGAAAAATTGGCTAAAAAAGATAAAGAAATCAAAGAATTAAAAGAAAAAATTGCTGAAATAGCAGGTCAGTTAAAAATTTTGGAACAAAAAATGAAGCAAACCCAAGAAGAATTAACCGCCAATAAAAAGCAATTTGAAGAATTACAAAAGAAATTTCACACTCTCCAACAATCAAATAATAATTTAAACCAAAGCAATCGGGATTTAATTGTTATCCAGGAAGAATTAAAAAAGCAAATAGACCAATTAACCACCGATAAATCTGATAATTATCAAAAATGGCAGGATTGTTTAAACACTATTCAGCAATTAGAGAAAAATAATGAGGAGCAAGATAATTTGATAAAGACTCGTGAAAACTCTCTGACCGATCTTGGC